TATCCCTGAGCTCGATTTGAGAAATTTAGGGCAAGTGACAGGGTCAATTCGGTGATGGAGCGCGTGTTGAAAATCCTTGCCGAACGCAGGATTTACTCGCAGGAGATTGTTGCTTGGCTGTTGCAACGATTGAGTGGGTTTTTAGTGCCCTTCTTAGTTATTGTCTTTTAGAAGAGGCTGATGACGAAAAAATTGAAACCAAGCCAGTGGTGTCGCAAAAACAGGTAATTTTCGCAAGGTCCAACCCATGAAATTATTTTTGCAGTTTGATAAGCTTCAAGGAGCCCACAACGACTTCGAGAAGGGTTGCACGCGAGTCAATGGGCCAAACTTTCGTTATGGCGAGATGAACCAGACAACGCGGAGAAGTGAGGGATTTGAAATTGTATAATTATTGCTGTTATCTTTAGACGGTCGTGATCACATGAGCGCGCCACCGGCAAATTTTGCGAAAACCACGCACCCTTAGGATCGTCCGGCACTCCGAGCATTTTGAACCTTGTCGGAATGGCATCTTCGGTGATAGAGGACCGCGTGCACAGAAACGTTCGCTACCAAGGGAAAATGAGGTATGCGCAGTGCTTTTTTATTTTGACGTTTATCAAAGGCGCTCGACCAGCTGCCAGGGCTGATTTTCGAAATTCCCTATTTTTCATAATGTTACTAAGATTTTTGCGAGCTGGGCCAAATTTCCGATGCTTTTTTCCCCATAGAGTTTTAGAAATAAAATTTCTGTAATTTTTATGCCTTTCGTCATCAATTTTGAAGCCATCTGCGAAAAAACAGCTTGAATGGCGATTAAGCCGAGAAAAGAGTGTAACTTTTGCTTGAAAAATTTGAAAATTCAGAGAAATAAATTGGGAGATCGCGAAATCGGAGAGAACATACTTCCGCAGCTCCCCGAGAGCTTTCGATACAAAACCTAAATCGTGAAAATCGGCTTGATCAACCTGTAGCAGAATTTTGTCATTCCAGCAGCGTCCTCCACGTCCAATGGGCGGAATGCTCCCTCCCACGTTGATGCCTGGCGCTCACGCGTTCGTCAACCCGATAAGGATGATCGCTGCACTGCAGCAAAACGCTCAGCCTCCCCAGCAGCCTCCAGCTCTCTCAGATGCCGCCTCCTCAACATTTTCATCAAATTGTAATAAAATTATGATTATTAACAGAATATTGCCCGTCGTTTTGCTTTTTTTGCGTTTGATCACTTTCACGCGATTCTGGGCCAATACGTCAGAACGCTTTTTTTCTTCTGGTGTTTTTGCCAGACTTACGGCTGGGTGTTTGATTTTCGTTCGGCCTAATAGCGAAAAAGGCGGTAAAATCGAACGATTTGGGCGAGCCGTTGAGAATTTACGATATCAACTGCACCCAGATGGTACGATTCACGCGTGGAAGGAACTTTTAAGCTTTTTAATTCTTTAATCCCATTTTAATATCTTTTTGAAGGCTTAGTAGGCGAATTTTTGGATCATCATCATATGAAATTCGATTGATTCGTATGGGGATTTTGTTAGAGCGATGCATTATGATAATTTTGACCCCTGACAGCGAGCCGAAAGCTGATTTTCTGGCGATAAAATCCCGTATTTTTAGACTCCATCAATGCTGATGACGCCGCCTCCACCCATCAATTCTTGGGCCCCACGCCCGCTTCAAGACAATCTCCCCTACATCCCTCAAGGAACTCCGTCTTTTCTGCAATCAACCAACGTCCCATACCAACCACCGCGCTAACGTCTCGCCCTGGGCGCTCAGCATTTCGCCGCACGAGCTCAACAATGCGCAGCAACCACCCCGCGATCCTTCGTCCTGGCTCCAAGATGCGACTCCGTTTTTGCCGTCCAACAATCGGGACCACCCGCCGGCTTCTTCTCCCTGTGAGGATCCTCGCCTTGGCCAGCAAATGAACAATCACCAACCGGCGATGGTTGATCAGCAACGCGAGAATTGGGCTCCTGCTCGCTTTCGCACCATGAATACCCCTGAACGAGCCGCTGGATGTAAAGCCGCTGATATTGCCAGATCGAGAGGTGGCTCCTCCCACATTTACCTTTGCGGAATCTCTTTGGATGTCAAACCGTCCATTCAGGTAATAAACTCGTTGCAATATTTTAAGGTGTTTTTCGCAATAACAGGGTAGGGGATTTTCCTAGTCTAGAAATCTTAGTAACGTAATAATAAGAATTTTAATAGCCTTTTTAGAACAATTTAACTAGATCCCAAAAGGTAGAAGTCAAAATTTGCTATTTTCCGATGGAAAATAGGGATTTTTTTTTAATAAAAAATTGTAACGTTTTTACGTTTGTAAATAGTAAAAAGCGGGCCTAGAAACAATTCTGCCATTTATATTAGGAAAATTGGGTAGTAAAAACGTTACTTTTCTTTTTTATGATGTTTTCGTTTTCAGGAAACCCCTACCAACAGGCCCACAGCTCGCATCAACCTTGAAGGCGTCAAGATCGAAGGCGTATCCGAGAACAACCGGATCTTCTTCGATGGAAAAGCATACGAGGTGGGCGGGTTTATATTTATTTAAAACTTGTTTCTTAATCATCGTATCGCTCGAAAACGAATTAATTTGCGTTTTAATTCCATTAATTAGGTGGAGTACGTTGACACGACGCCGATCATCGAACGCAACGGCTGGCCGCATCGCGTGTATTTTGGCGGTGGATCAAGGAACGTGATTATCGACGGCACCTGTCATCCCCTGGCTTTCGGGGAAACGAAGGTTGGAGCTTTTGCAATATCGGGGGAAAGCCATTTTCCTATAGCTAATAACGTGACACTGAGGATTTTAGTATTTTTTAATTAAAATTAACTATATTTGGGGCGGAGAAAGCATCAAAAACTCGGAGAAGTCAAGGAAGTAAAAAGCTGAAATACGGTTCGAAAATCGTAATTTTTGAGCGAAAATCGATATCTTGGTATTTTTAAATGGAAATTGGTACCCCGATACCCCTCCCCGATCCTGCAAAAGAACCTTTTGAGCAAGTTCTGATCGATGGCGAAGAGCACGCGATTCGTTTTGGTGGCCCGTCGAGGGAACTGTTTATGGGCGATTATCCTTTCAAGGTACGGCGTTTTTGCAAAAATATTGTAAGAATTTTAGGGGACCTTTGGTGGCCCTCAATTTTGCGACCATCAATGGCGTTCGCCACGAGATCCGTCTGGGCGGACCTGCGCCGGAGGTATATTTTATGAGTCCTGTTTTAATAAAAAAGCATTTTTAGGTAAAAGTCAGAGCCCACACCCGCCTACGAACTGGCCCGCCATCTGAACGTCGCCCGCAAGCCGCAACCACCGACGCCCGTCGTCGCCAAGCCGGTCGCGGAATCTTCGCACATGACCGATGACGGAAGTTAGTTTAGTT